TGTGTGCCTTCTTGGCTTACTGGTGGAGCACATGCAACTTGCAAACAATCTCAGTCTTTTCCTATTTCATGTGGTTACTCCAAGACCTGTAATCAACTGGGCTACGAAATCCAAATTCTTGGGGAAGAAGAGCCATGAATGACTTTGACTGGCTGGCAGCCAGAACGATGCCCCTCCACCGTTCTTCCTTCTATTTGCACTTAGCCCAGTGGGGTGCGCACTGTGTGTTCCTAAGTGTGTTTGTAAAGTCCACAAATAAATTCACTCCTGTATTTAGGGTTTTTAAAAAGGAGGCTGCTCTGTGCCAGTAACTGATGCTTGGCCCAGGAGTCAGAGTTAGCAGTTTGTAAGCTTTGAAGTGAGAGGACTTTTTCCCCTCTTTTATTAGCAATGGAATGAACTTTAGAGGAAAAAAAAAGTTGGTGAGGAGAATTTTTCCATGGTGAGCCACGTAATGTCTCTGGTACAATTCCCTATTTAGAAAGCCAGCTGCCTTAAGGCATCCACAGGAATACCTTGTGTGTCTCACACAACCCCTGCCCAGAAGAATGCAGTTAGCTGTGTGTATTTATAGTGGACCATCTTCTCTTATACATCTGACATGAGCTAAAATGTTACAATGGAATAGTATTTTAGGTATTTTAGAGTAGTGATTTCTAAACTTTAATGTGAAGATAGATCAGAGTTCAGGCAATGGGGCTCCACACCCACAGATTTTGACTTGTGTGTGTGTGTGTGTGTGTGTGTGTGTGCAGTTACACACACACATATTATTTTGAGAAACTGTCATTTTAACAAGCAACCTAGATGAGTTAGACATAAGCATTCAATGGCCTTTACTGAGAAACAACCACTTAGAATCTTAAGAAATTTAAGATTCTTTGGCCCAAAATGTCGGGGTTTTAAATTGCTGCATATTTCTGCACAGAAAGGCTAAAAGATCATTTGTCCCTCCAAGAGAAGGAAGAGTGCATATGTTCTTGATTTCCCACAGGTCATTTCCAAAGTAATTAGCGTAGGTGACCTTATTCTGACTTTGCTGATTAGGCAGTCACCTCAGGTCAAGAGGTGTGCTGAGGGCTAGATGGCTGTGACCAGGGCAGGAACCCAGGTCACCTGAACTTAGAGCAGAGGTGACGCTTGGTGCATCTCTTTACACACGGCTGAAGTGAGAAGCCCTGGGACACGCAAAAAGGAAATACTACCACATTACGTGACCTTGATTTAGAGCCAGTTTTCCTGGAAGCTCGACATCATCGGGGAACTTTGGGAAAGCTGGCCAAGGGAACTTTGCTATGTTCTACTTTGGAGCATTTAAGCCCTACTGGAGAAACTTTTATTGCATAGTTCTGGTACTGGGGAAAAGAAACACACATGGGGCCATGGGGAAACCATTATCACCAGTTTTCCATAGCTCAGGGCCATGGTGTTCACTAGGACAGACATGAGCTGAGATCTCAATTTATTATAGATCTAAGTGTGCGTCTACAAAGTGAAGAAACAGGGTGCCCTTAAAATCCCGAGTGCCATGTATATTTAGAAGACTAAGCAGATGACTTCTTTGATTTCAAATCTTCTACCAGGACTTCCTGGATGTCTTTTGAGGTCCCAAATACCATATCATGAGGTGCCTTAGGGAAGATAAAACTCTTTGACAGTGGAAAGAACTCTCATTCTATAGCCCTTCCTTCCCTTTGCCCACAAGGGAAGATCTGCCTTCAATCTTGTGAGAAAAACTATAAATAAAATGGACTAGACAAAGAAATACTTAATCACATTCATTGAGAAAACCTCAGCAGGAACAATGAGTCTTTTCAATGGCTGAAGATGATATGAATAGACAGAACACTTGCTGTTGAATATGTCTCTGGCTCCTGAGTGAAAATGCTGTTTGCCATTAGATATTAGTTTAATTCTAGAGCTTCAAATGTTATGTTCATGTGCCAAGAAACCACTGTAGTCAACTACAAAGCATGGTTTATGGAAATCACTAGAAGCATTCTTAAAATGTTAACTTTTAAAAGCAGCCTTTTCCCAGAACGCCCCTCACTCTTAGGAATGGACATGGTCTGGGCATGTTTCTAGTAGTCCCCTTGTGAGCCCTTTCCTCACTGACCATACCTATACCCAGGTGCCATCTCTTTTAATGACACAGTTCCTCCTGGGACAGCAGAGAATGCTTCCGAGACTTCATCTCAGACTCAGGCTGGTCTTTGCTCCTCTCTAGATAAGTGATTCTTCAACAATGTTACATAGTGTTTAATTTCTCAAAGAATCAATGGACTGCTGAATCAAAATACAGTGGCAGGTAACAGGTGAAATGGGGATGCTGGCCCTGGATGAAAATCACACGCTGTGTTCTCACACCTTTCTTCATTCAGATCTTCCCCCAGAGGAAGACTAGAGATGCTGAATAGATTTTTGAATTAGGAAAACTATAGCAGTCCTCTCATTTGATGCCAAATAGAAACCCCAGTCTCACCCAGCTGTGTTCTGTTTCAAAACATCATTTGCTCCTTGCTGAAACCAACCAACCAACCAACAAACCAACCAACCAACCAACCAACCAACCAACCAACCAACCAACCAACCAACCAGCCAATGGAAGAAACTGTCACAGTTTAAAAAAAATAGAAAGTTTTCATAGATAAGTGAAATGTAATTTAATAGGATCACTTTTTTTCCTCCTGGTTGGTAGGAAAGTTCACTAAATTTCTAAAGAGAGGTCTGGAAAGATAGTCATGTATCACTTAAAGACGGGGACATCTGGGAAATGCATCCTAATTTCTTCATTGCCTGAATATCACAGAGGGTACTTACACACACTAAGATGTCACTGGGCCATGTAATCTCATGGGACTGTCCATAAGTGCATGCTGTCTTCTGTTGACTGAGATGTTGGTCAGCAGCATGTGACTATATACAAATGTGACCACTGACCTAAACCTCTGTGCTTGCTCAGGGGGCTTGTGAGCATCTTAGCAACGTCATGATCAACTTGGCCCCTCTGCAATGTGCAAGTCAGCTACTTAATGAGAATGAAAGTTGGCAAATAGCCCAATTCATCACTCTGGAATTGGAGTTGCAGAAGTGAGGGTGCACAGAGGGGGCTTGCTAGTACAGCACTGTCCAGGACAGGAAGCACATTCCAAGAAGTGGCCCCACCTGCCAGTCACACACCCACTGACCCCATCCTGTCAGCTGTTAATCTCTAACTGATAAATCTGCATGTTCTTTGTCCTCTTTCCTATCAAAGGTGCAGCTGAGGCCTGCAAGCCCACTCTTGCAGGCCAGGATGAGTGTGCTATGCTATGCTTGGCTCCCACATTCATGGAGGTCCTGGACACTCTAGTGTTTTGGCTGACATGTTTACCAGGTGAAAGACAAGTGGTGCCAGCCCTGGGCTATCTCATGTGCAGTGGCCTCTGGACATGAGTCCATATTGGGGTAGACCCAGGGGCTTCTGTTCATTTCTGCAGAGTGAGGCAGAGGCAGCAGTGCCATACTCCAGACCCTCACTTCATCTCTTCCCACCGCTAGTTCTGTTTCCCAGCATTGTGAGCATCCTACTGAAAATACAGGAGGATAGACCAGCATGAACATCCACTCTAAGAGACCATCCCTTGTAGCAGGTCTACTCTTAGACACAATGATAATCCCCCTGCTGATTGAAACTCAGCAGTGTATATGCTGACTTGGATCTAGAGGGAAAGGCTTAAGTAGAGCTGGACAGTGGGCTTCTGGCTATTTAGAAAGAAAATACAGAACCTGGAGAACAGGCCTGAAATGGAAGTGCAATAGCATTTCACTCTACAAATAAGGCTGTGCCTAGCCACAGAGGCCTCCACAGTGGTCCCTAAAGCACAGGGCTTCAGTGGCCCCTTGTTGGGGTCTAAGTGAATTCTGGCTGTGTGTCACCTAGTATGGGTTTGTGGAGAGCACCTGAGAACTGAGGAAGCTGGTACCTTAGGCCATGCAGAGTTCTTCTCTCTACCCCTGTTGGTTCTACGACCTCGTTGGTCATTGTTCACGGCTTTATTTTAGAGAATGGGCAAAGAAAATGTAAAAGAAAATGTAAAGCAATTCAAAAAAAGTATAAAGCCTCTAAGCTCAGCCTCTTTGGCTGGCTCAAAGAGACGAACAAAGTGTGCTGGATAGCTTTAGTGTCAACTTGACACACCTGGGTTGAGGGAGCCCCAGTTGGGGAACCGCCTCCATTGAACAGGCCTGTAGCCATGTCTGAGGGGCATCTTCTTAATTGTTGTGTGATGTGGGAGGGCCCAGCCCACTGTGGGTGGTGCCAACCCCTGTGCAGGTGGGCCTGTGTTGCATAAGAAAGCAGGCTGAGCAGGGGCCAGGGAAGCAAGCCAGTAAGCAGCATTCCTCCAAGGCCTGTGCTCCAGCTCCTGCCTCCAGGTTCCTGCCCTAAGTTCCTACCTTGGGCTCCCTGATGAACTGTGCCCTGGAGATGTAAGATAAAATAAACCCTTTTCTCCCCAAGTCTGTATTGGTCAGAGTATTTTCTCACAGCAATGGAGAGACAAACTAGGACACAAAGAGACTCTGGTTCACTGAAGACCTGGTCCCTAGAGTTCTTAGGTTGATCTTTTACAAGTGACCAATTATCAACGAAGCAGTCAATCATGCACTTAATATTGGGCCTGTAATCAACATGTACACTGATTATGATTGACTCAGAACTATTCCAGTTTCCAAGGGCGACAAATTGTATTAATCAGTTCGGTGTATAATTAGCACATAACTTAAGGGAATGTGGACAGGCTGTCTAAGAGGAGTTACAGTGAAATTTTTCATTAACTTTTTTTTCAACATGCCATTTCTGTGAACCTCTTTTGGCTACATTAGTTGGTTCATTTCCTGATAAGTTTTGATGGAAGCAACAGCTTTTCCTGAAGTTCACTGTCACAAGGCAAAGAAAACTGACTCATTCGCATGCTCACAAACACAGTTGACCTAAGACATGGATTCACAGTACTGACCTGCCCTTTCATGTCAGGAGCGATGGGGACTGTGGGCCAGATGGTTGAGTAGACGCCAAAAAACACCAACCAGATCAGCATGCTTCCCCACACTGCTAGATGACTGAACTGTGGAAGAAACAGATGCTTAGATGGGTCCTCTGTTAGCCTGGTGATTCACTCCAGCCCACCTGCTGTGCAGTACCCATCCCATATCCATGCTCCTTCCCTTGATGGAAAGAATGTGAGGAGACCCCAGTCACTGGATACCTCTATCTTTCTAAGTCCCTTGTCTTCAAATATTTAATGATGAATTTAAATTACCAGTAGTTCAGATTATCCTGTAATGAAAGTACTTTGTGCCCCAAACCTTCCTCTAAGATACTTGCTTTATAAAACAAGGGCTTAGACATCTAATGAGAGTGTGGTAAAACATGCAAATGGACAGGATATTTTTATTTTTCACTTAGAGATGCCATCTGTTCTATTCATTTTGCAAAGAGTATTTTTATTTAAAAAGGTTAGAATAGATAATATATTTTAAAAATATTTAAAAAAGTTATTTGATAGAGTTTTAAAACTCAACATATAATTGTGCACATTTATAGGAACAGTGTGATATTCTGATACATGTATATAATGTGCAATGATTGGAACGGGGTAATTGACATCTCTACCATCAAAAAATAATTTATTAGTGTTGGGAGCATTCAAAATTCTTTCTTCTAGTTGTCTCAAAAGATACGATTAATTGTTATTCACTCTGATTACCCTACTTTCTATAGAACATTAAAAAATATTCCTCCTACCTGCTTGTACCCTGTAACTGCTTACTATCTTCTCCATCCCTTCCTCCCCCTTCTTCTTGGCACCAGTAACTAACAGTCTAGTCTCTACTGCTATGAGATGAAACTGGGATATTTTATGGCTTTTTAAGCTGTTAATTTTTGTCCTTTGTACTCTTACTATGATCCTTGAATTCTCTCCCCCTTTTATTTAGATTATCAGTATATTATTGTATTTTTAATAAATAATTTATTGAGAATTTCACACATGCATATAAGGTGTTTTGATCAAATCCATGCCCACTCCCTCCCATCCAACTCCTCCCATATCTTCCCATCACTTTTTTCTGATAACTTCATGTACTCTTTCTTCTTCTTTGATTTATTTACCTTTTTTAAATGGGGCGTTTGGATATGCTAACATTTCCCCCTCTGAAGAGGTAACCCTAAAATCTTTTAAGGATTAGATAAAAGCTCCCAAATATCTTTGACATTTTTTGGCCTTTGGAATGGAGTAGGTCGCTAAGAGGCCCAAGGACATTGTGAGTTTTAGGCAAGAAACTGGCTGCTTTTCTTTGGGGTCTTTTTACCCTAACTGCCTAGCGAGTTCCTACCTCCTATTCTTATCACACCATCCTCTGAAGGGGTCACCCAAATTGCCAATAGGGAATCGGGATGCAGACCATTCTGGCTTCTTCCATGCTGAACAGGGACGCAGGGTAAGGCAATTGGAGTACCCCTTCAGTGGGTCTATCTAAAGACTCCCAAATTGCATAACTCTTGTCTCTAAGGGGAAAAGAAAGTCCTTGAATCATGAATAGGAGATGCGAAGGAGAAGTAAAGGCAAGAGTAATTAGCATTACAAGTTCTAGACAGGGAACTAGACAAAAGTCAGACCAGGAATTTCTTCCAAAAGCATCCCTCTATTGGGTTCCTCCTCATTTTTCTTTTGTCTTCCAAGGCTGGACTCAAGAGTGATGGACTCAGGATTTGCTTTCTATTGTGATAGTACCACATGGAAGCAGGATCCAGGGGCTCTCAGGCAGTCCCCTGTGTTCTCAGGCCCCCTGGCAGAGAGAGACCAGAGGGAGGCCAGAGCTTGGCACTCTCTGGCAGTCTGCCTCTCTTTTTCTTCTATTCCTCATAATCCAACCCATCAGTAAATTCTACTTTTTAGATTTTATTATTTATTTATTTATTTATTTTATGTGTATGAGTGTATTGTCTACATGTCTGTAAGTGCACTGGTGTTGTACAATGCCTGTGGAGGTCAGAAGAAGGCATCGGATCTGGAACTGGAGTTATGGATGGTTGTTAGCGGCCATGTGGGTGCTGGGAATTGAACCCAGGTCCTCTGCAAGAGCAGCCAGTGCACTTTAACTGCTGAGCCATCTCTCCAGTCCCAGGTTTTACTGTTTTAAACAAATACTTTCAGAATCTACAATTCACTAACCACCTCCTGCAATATTCTAGGCTAAGTCACTATTGCCTTCTGCCAGGAATAACTGCCATCGCCTCCTCACAGATTTCCCTGGTTCCATAGTGATCCCTCACCCCACCCCATCATCTGAGCAGGGCATATGGTAACTAAGCCACAGCCACACGTGACATAAAAAGAAAAAATGTGAAACACCAGTTATAAACCCCACACCTTGGAAATTACCAAAACACTTGAAAAGGGTTTCTGATAATACAAATGTGGAATAGCTATTTAAATTAACAATCTATAATCATGAGCAATAGTTTTACAGAAGTATGTTTTAAGGATTCAAAATGTGATAGGTTTTAGGGGAAAATGACAAAACTCTATGTTCTATAATGCAATAAATTATTTGAAAATGCACACGAAGGACAGTATGAAAGTGACACAGCAGAGTGCTAAAGGCGATTGTCTCTGGGTGCATAGTTATGTGGAAATATTAAAATTTTGTTTTTGCTCTCCTGAATTTTCTGTGTATGTGTGAATGTATTGTGTATGTTTGAGTATTTGTGTATTTGTGTATATGTGTGTTTGTGTGTGAGTGCACATTTGTGTGTCTGTGTATTGTTTACAATCAGCATAATCATTTGAAGTCAGGTGACTGTCAACAGCTTTGAGCTGTACTAGGTGCCAAGCAAAGGAAGATTCAGGAATGGGTAGATTGCAAATTTGCCCTGATAAAGATCAAACCACAATTTTTTACATGCAAAATTTCAAATAAGACAGCTACATACTGTTTATTGTGTTCTCCAGGGTTAAATGGAGGTCACTACATAAATACTATCTATAGTAGAGAGAGAAATAATTCCAAAGAAAACTCACTTTAGTCCAAGCTGTCGTCTCCAAACCAGCTTTCAGACAAACGGTAACCACAACATACTGTGAAAAGAAAGAGGAGTTTGGTACGATGTCATATTTCTCAGCTATTCCGGGCTTTAAGGACTACATAATGCGTAACTGTTTACAGTAATTAATTTTAATGAGGAAAGGCTTGCATAAAGGGACCAGAGAAATAAAACCCACACGTGCCACTTAAGAATGGCTCAGCAGTGATAAACGTACCGTGTAAACTATGTTCCCAACAAACAAGTAGTCTGTGGCTTGGCCATTGGCTAGAGGCGTGTCTGGAAAACAAAGAAGCTACGGTTAGCTTCCAGGAGGCAGAGGTGGCAATCTTTTTTTTTTTCAGAATATAAATATGGAACTCTAGAAACATCTACCAAAATGAAGGCATTTTGAAATTGAATCTTATGTGATTCAAAGGTGCTTTCTCTTTGTAACTGTATTATTTTTCATTCTAAGTTTTCTTCAAATGAATGAAACAAAAGCAGATTTCTAATCATAACAAATACTTGATCTTCACTGAAATTTGTATTTTTATAAAATCAAAATCTCTTCTTGTCTGACTTGAAAAAGAGGGCAAAATGGGTAGGAATAAGAATATGTTAAGTTTCACAGCACTGGAATGTCTAAATTTTCACTTATTGTTTCCTTTCAATTTTTGCTAAACTGGAACTATGCACCAACAAAAGGAGATAATTACATGAATACAAAATCAATTCATAATTATTGAATGTATTTTGGGAGGCATTCATTACTTGCAACTACATCAACTTCTGGGAAGGAAAGTAATCCAGTGAGAGATTTTCTGAAACATAGCTAGGATTTTTTTGTTTTGTTTTCTTTTTTGAGACAGGGTCTCATTGTGTAGCTCTGGCTGGCCTGGAACTTGCTTTGTAGACCAGATCTGCCTGCCTCTGCCTCCCAAGTGCTAGGATTAAAGGTGTGTGCCACCACGCCCAGTTTATACAGCGAAGGATTCTAAAGCTTTTTTCTTCTGTTTCATTTCTTTCTTTACAAGAGTGACTCTAACTGCTTCTGAGGCAGAGCTCTGCTTCGATTGTGTGACTCTGCCTTGGTGAGACCTGCTCTGAGAAATCTCATTCTGACCAGAGAGTACAAAGCTATTTTAAGGTCAGGAATGGCTTCTTCCAATAACATTCCCTCCCATTCCTTTTCTCCTCAGGTCCAGATCTGTGGCCCAGAGGCAGGGTGCATGGGATTTCTATATTCATACTGGGTGCTTGTTATCCATGCACATTGGGCTACTGACTTACTCATCTACTAGTGGAAGACTCCCAACCTTATGAAAGAATCTGTGTATTTTTCTAAACAGGTGTGATAATTATGTTGAGGTGCAGGTGGGTCTGGTAATGGGGGTCCCTGAATCCAGCTCTTGGCATATCTTTGCTCCTGGTTGTAAGACATCTGTGACCAGGGGAAGATTAAGCACAAGAGGCACCAGGGCCATATCAATAACAGGTCTCAACTGAGATGACTGTTAGTGGGGATGTAAGACTTATACTAAATCAGAGAGAGCTTCTACCACAGACTTAAAAAGGAAAGCTCTTGAATCTCAGAGGAGAGGTGGTAAAGAGAGGTGAGAAGGTGAGGTAAGACCCCATGGTGAGAAAAACTTTAAGAAGGGAGATGCTAGATTGACTTCAGCAAGATAACAAACTGATCTGTGGGTTGAATACCCCAATCTGAAAATCTAAATTCTGAAGTGCTTCAAGATCCCAAAGGAGCTTTTAGATTTGAGATTATGGATATTCAACCAGTGAAGTCTATGTAAATATTCAGTAGATAAAAATCTCTGAAATAGGAAACACTTCTGGTCCTAAGCATTTTAGACAAGGGATGCTCACCTTTAACTTGCAAATAGCCATTCTAAACTTCAAGGGTTTACTTTCCAATAACTGGTCCTAAAGTTATTTTTAATAAGAGATGAAGCACTGTTAAAGCCAGGCTTCAATACAATAACACTTGAGATTAGACAGGGATTGCATATTAAGTCACTTCTGTGAAAAAACACCATAAGCAAGGCAGCTTATAGAAGAAGAGTTTTTTGAACTTATGATTCCAGAGGACTAGAGTCCATAATGGTGGGGAAGGCATGGTGGCAGAGGTGGCCAGAGCAGAAAGATGAGGGATAACAACTTCAAGCAGGCACAGGAAGCAGAGAGACACTGGAAACCTGGCAAGGCTTAAGAACTCTAAGTCTGTCCCCGGTGCTTCCTCCAGCAAGGCTACATCTTCTAAAGCTGCCCAAAACAGTGCCACCAACTGGGGACAAAATGTCCAAATACTTGGAGCCTATGGGGAACATTCTCATTCAAACTACCACAGTTGTTTCTTTGATTCTAAAATTACATACTTGAAAGGAATAAGGTTATTCTTTTATGTATTCAAATCTAGCCAATACAAGGCATTATGGGAACTGGGAAGTGAAAAGACCCTTATCTCCATGGGGTCTGAATGAGTAAGGAGAGTCATACACTCACACACAAAATTGACATATAGCCAGGTGTGGTAAGTGCCATGAAGAAATATAAGGTAGATGACTTCAACACAGAATGACCAGAGGCTATTCTTTTAGTTAGGGAGGTGACATGTGAGCAGGTCAGAATGACATAAGGGAGTTAATGAAATGATTATTAAGAATGAGAAGGTTCTGGGAATGAGGAGAAATTGCTAAGAATTGGAATGAAAACAGCACTTGATGAGTGCTGTGGAGTAGAGACACTGGGAGAAGTAACATGAGGGCACTCAACAAACAGCCAGAGGCTAATTGAGGTAGGTCGTATTGAAGAGTCTGCACTCCTCTGTTGACTACTGCAGGCTGACTGACTACCACAGGCTGAGTTACTACTGCAGGGTGACTGACTACCTCAGGCTGACTGACTACCTCAGGATGACTTACTACTGCAGGGTGACTGACTACCTCAGGCTGACTGCCTACCACAGGCTGACTGACTACGACAAGCTGACTTACTACCTCAGGCTGACTGCCTACCACAGGCTGACTGACTACGACAAGCTGACTTACTACCTCAGGCTGACTGACTACCACAGGCTGACTGACTACGACAAGCTGACTTACTACCTCAGGCTGACTGACTACCACAGGCTGACTGACTACGACAAGCTGACTTACTACCTCAGGCTGACTGACTACCACAGGCTGACTGACTACTGCAGGGTGACTGACTACCTCAGGCTGACTGACTACCACAGGCTGACTGACTACCTCAGGCTGACTGACTACCACAGGCTGACTGACTACTACAGGCTGACTTACTACTGCAGGGTGACTGACTACCTCAGGCTGACTTACTACTGCAGGGTGACTGACTACCTCAGGCTAACTGCCTACCGCAGGGTGACTGACTACTGCAGACTCTGAGCCTATAGTGAAACGTTTCTGAGCATGCTCTCAAAGGAATGGTGCAGCTCTTAGAGGCAAACAGATCATAGGTGATCAAGGAAGAGAGAGTGACAAATGCCCATCTGGCAAGAACGGCAGTCATCCATCCAGATGATGGAGGGTGATACTGGTGACACCAGAGCTGTGCTGTCCAATGTGGTAGCCACTAGTGCACTTAGTTTACCTTTAAGCTAATTGAAACAAAATGCAGTAAAATAAAAAATTCACTTCCTACCAGGAGCTTGGGGGGTGGTATGAGGATTGTTCCTTAATGAGAAGACTTCCAGTTTTGAGGTGATGAAAACATTTGCCAACAGTGGTAATGTTGCACAGCAAGCTCAGTGTGAGGAATGTGTCTAAAGTATATACTTAAAATGGATAAAATTGCCACGTTTATTTTATGTATATTTATGCATATTACCACAATGTAAAATTAACAAAACATGGATCATAGAGTCCAAATAGAACTTTTAGGATAAAAGAGAGCAGTAAATCTTTCTAACCTCAGATTTGGCTATGATTTCTCAGGTACCAAAAGCACAGAGAGAAAGGAAAGAGTGGATAGATAAGACGATCAGTTTGAGACTCCTATGTTTGAAATGACACCAGAGAGAATGTGGGGGGGAAAAGAACGTAGAAAATATTTGTACACTATATATCTGACAAGGGACTTATGTTCAGGATATAAAAATCAAACCCTTACAAGTCAACAATAAACAAACCCTGCTCAATTTGAAAATGACAAAAGATCTGAATAGGCTTTTTTGTATTTGCAGAGAAGATATGAAAATGGGTAACAGTGATGAAGAGGAGCTCAATATTGGGCATCAAGGAAACAGACTCAAAGCCACTGTGAAGGATCACTCCATACCCACTAGAATGGCTAGACTAAAAGACAGTTAAGAGTCAGTAAGAGTGTAGAACTGGGATTGTCTACACTGCCAGAAGCCGAGTAAAACTGCAGATACTTTGGGAAACTGACAGGCGGTTCCTAAAAAAGACTGCACATTTGTTACATGACCTGGCAATTCCCAAGAAAAATGAAAACATATGAATGAAATACAAAAACGTACACATGAATAGCATTCCTAATTGCCCATCACAGTCTAAAATGATGAATAGCATTATTCATTATTCACAGTAGCCTATTCATAACTCAAATGTCCATCAACTGGTGAATGAACAAATAAATGTCCATCACTTAGTGAGTGGTGCATCAATACAATAGAGTATTATTAAGAAATAACAAGGAACGAAGTAGGGTTATATATCACAACACGGATGAACCTTGAAAACCTTATATGAGTGAAAGAAGCTAGACACAAAAAGCCACATGCTGTATGATTGCATAAAATGTCCGGAAGAGGAAAATCTCTACAGACACAGTACAAACCAGTTAGCTGTCAGGAGCTGAAGATGTTTGAGAGGAAATGTGGAGTGACAGATTTGGGGGTAAAGAAAATATTTGAAAGTCAATTATGATGACAGCTGCATAGCTGGAATTGTACCCTTCAAATGGGCAAATTTTGTAGTATAAATAATGAGGTATAATTCTATCAATACAAAGATTTGGCTCCTCAGTCACACTTGCTACATTTCAAATGCTCACTAGCTGTACGTGGCTAGTGGCTACTGCATTGGCAGCAAGCACATAAACCATCACCATCACCAGAAGTTCAACTGGGCAATGAAGGTTTGGAATGACCATGTCAGAGTGCTGAGAAGTGATAGAGACTGGTGGATATTTTGAAGTAGAAATGAAAGTATTTGTTCATGATCTGGAGGCAGAGTAGGAAAGAATGTGCACAATCGAGGTGATGTCCATGTTTCCAGCCTGAGCACTGAGGTAGACTTGAT